TCATCTCCCATCACACAGACACACACACACAATGGTCAAACACATACCAACGTCACCTGGAGGGGTGTACTTGCCCAAATGTCTTACAAGATAAGAAATGATGAAAGACTCGGTGCTCAAACAAAAGAAAAGTTCCCTTGGTGGTATGGGAGCTTTTTGGGCTCTGTATGAAAGAAAGTGATGAAACACTTGAGAAGAGGGAATGTCAGACCGAACCAGAGAAGCTGTGGCCAACAAGGAAATGTGAAGATCATAAGACCTACAGTACATCTATGACACAATCAGCCCAAGGTCTGCAAAGTGGCTAAGCATGGCGACGCCACATGGCTAATTAGCATTAGCCTGCCGTCTTACCTGCCTCTGACGAGTCTGTCTTTATTTGCTGGCTTTGGGAAATATACAGTGATACACCATTATCGCTATGTAGGTTAACACCAGTGCAGATACAGTATGGGAACAACATCATCATTGTCACACCCAAAGCAGGAGAACAAGGCAGGCCCTCTAATAAAGGGTGCGCCATACACTCTTTATATCTATCTGCCATAGAAGCATTTGAAACATTTGGGCAGTACAGCAGTTTATGGGCTGCAGCCATAAATAAGCCCAGCAATGAATTTAGGCAAATTCTAATAGTGTAGTTGTTCCTAGAAGGATGAGTCTGCATGAAATAACTCTCAGCATTACAGAGCATGAACAGAGCTGCTGAGGCTGAAGTCGTCTACAGAATCACTGCAGTGTGTGATGCGGAGCACTGCAATTTAACTGTCGATTAGGCTGTGATCACACAGAAAATGCTGCACCTTATTGCTTACACTGAGGAGGTTATGTTTTCAGTCCCATTTGTTTATTTGTCTGTTACAGGCTATGATATCGCAAAAACTGTTCAGTGAAATTTGTTAAATGGGTAAGCAATGAATGAGTGTAGCATCAGTTTTCTATGCACGCCAGATTTCTGTGTACAAGTATATCAGGATTTCATTTAAGAATTAGCAAAACCAGATAGGGAATTCTGTAAATATCTGCCACAAACTACTGCTACAAACCAATTTTAAAAAATCCTGGCACATGTATCTTGTAATTGTCCACCTGTGTGTATTTTGCATGAAATCATTTTTCAATGCATTTTGTTTTTTAAAATCTGGCTATTTAAATAACAAATTTGGGTGACTGTGCAGCCCAGAATGTACCCTGTCTTTTCTAGTTGTGTTGATTTCATTTGTTTCTCGACTTCTTACATTTCCACTAAGACAGAACTTTAGGTTTTAGCGTCGTGGGGCACAGGCCTGGGCATTGGATGCATCTAAGTCTAACCTAAGTCTCATAGCATCAATATTTAAGAAGCCCTTGAAGTGGGCACTGTCAGAGCTCTTGGGCAAGATGAGAAAACTCTCTGTGCCCTGTTCTCTGCCTGTTCATTACCCCAAATCTGATGCAAAGTGGGCTGTGAAAAGCATACTTTTTTTGCGGCTCTCTGAAATTACCAAGTAGTGAAATTAGAATATAACAAAACTACTTTGTCTCCTCTGTCCTCTAAAAAAAACGAGTCCATTAATTCAGTCCTGTCTCCTAAAAGTCAGGTTCTCATTCATGAAAACAACATTCTTAATTTCATTTTGGGGGAGATATATTTTCCCAGAAAGCCACGAAAGTATGTCTGTCTCCTGAAAAGGTAAGAGTACACTGAGTCTTCAAACTAAGTATTCAATCAAATTGTTTCTACTATCTAAAAGTAAGCGCTTCCACAATAGAGGAATGTCAACTTTAAAAGAGAGGGAAAAGTCAGCATTTGGGAGATTGGTCAGCAGGGGATACAAATACAGCCAAGTTTTTGACAAGGAGACTGAAAAATTAGACTTGAATCTTGGACCATTTTTCAAAGTTTCACTTTCTTGCTGTGAAGTTAAGTATACACAAAGAAACATTTTGGTTAGAGTTAGCCACATAACATTTTGGTTTGGGTAAAAACAAACCCTTTTATAACTTTCACCACATGAGAAAAGCTCCATTTTTGGAACAGGTAGCCATGCTATCATTTTTAAAGGTGAGACACCGGCGCATTTTACATGCACTTGTTCACATCGCCACTAGAGGCTAGGCAACTTTAAAAACTTACTATAGGTTGTAAAAATGGATTCCATATCTATGTAATTGTTTTCTGTGGGAGTGGTTTTCAATATTAAGAAGCTGCTTCCTTATTCACAAGGGGTCGCCACAGCAGATGGATGCACATTTGATTTGGCAGATTTTTACACCAGATGCCTTTCCTGACGTAAGGGCATCCAGGGATTTATGTATAAGCCTGGTCTCAAACCAAGGAATTTTCACGTTGGATGAATGTGCTAACTACAACATTTTAGAGTGATTGTCAGTACTGCATGGTTAAAAAAAAATCTACGAAATCCAGACTGAGAGTAGAAGGTGGATACCTTTGTTTATGACAGAAGTGTACCTGATTAATTGCTGGAAAATGTCAAAGGGATATATGTGCCATTTCAGAAAAAAATAATCTGTGAAATTGCATCTAACCCTTAAACTGCAAATGTATTTTGGAGGAAAGAGAGAGTTCAATGATTAGTCAATTGGTGTCCACTGTGTAAACAAACCACCATTAACCTGCAACACAAACATTTTTTAATACTCATAAATTGAGCATCAGCACAGGCTTACACTAACTACAAGGAGTTTTCCATGTATCCCAATAATTACAATTCACATCGTTCTTTTCCAAAGCATACCATAGGTTTTTAGACCAAGTACTTTTTTCTACCAATGAACCCTTTTTTATTTATTTCAATATAGCTTTGAAAATCTTCTTCAAAAATATTTAATATGCTTCAGAAAGTAAATCTGGGACACAGAGTTTTAAGTCCACTTATGTGTTCTTGTAAGGCTCTGTAAGCAAGGACTATTTGATAAACTCTTCCATTTGGATGTTTGCAGAGTCTTTTTCACCTCCTTTAAAAACATGACTGATAGTTATATTTACAGGTAAATGCATTTCTTACAACACAGCTTATAAAAGCAATGCTTTCAATGTCAATGCTCAGACTGAATGCACTATTAAAGCTACGTTTTCCCAGTGGTTGGTGTTGCAATACCAGGCAGCATGTAAAACAAAAATCAAGTTTTGTGTGTCAGCAAATTAATTTTCAAACTACACTGACTTAAACTGATGAAAAAGGTTGCAGAGACAATGGAAAGTCAGCTAAAAAGGCATGCTTTTTTTAAAAGAACACTTTAAATAAGCAGTTATGTAACATTACACAGTTTATAGTTAATGGACTCCAAAGCATGCTAAATCACGCATGGTCATTTAACTCGAATTCATATTCCTCTTCAGTGGGGTCACATTTAAGGCAACATGGCGGGAAGGGGAAGTGGCTGTATGTATGATTAGATCACAGCTGTACACACCTCATAATGGAATTTCAATTTCCACAGCTCAGTGAGATCAGGTAAAAGTGTTGGACAAAATCCTGCTGAAGGAAAGGACAGCAAGAATAGCACAAGGAAACGTGCATCGGGGCAAAGTAAATAAGTATTTTTGCAATTTAAAGATACATTTCAAGTCAAACTTACACGATTTTTCGCCATTAGGCTGTCCAGTAAAGCGATCCAACTACGTAGTTGATTGAACACATAACAGTCATGAGAGAAAAAGGCTATTTAACAGTAACATGATCTGATACTGGAAAAACTGATTCATTTGAGAACTGATTTTTAATTCAATGATGTGATGTGCAAGTAAGCCTGACACATATATTATTGTTTAAAGGTGCTCTAATGATCTGATGGTCTGTGGTGGTAGTGGCATCATTCATGGAGTTGCTCAATAAAGGAAGTCAGCCTCAGACTTATGGAAATTAAACCACAGGCCGAGTTAATGTGATGAGGATGATCATAGGTCATTCTCGTTGTTATTATCAGCACAGTGTACTGAATCAGCACTGACAATGTCATCAATGTCATGTGGGACAACACGTTATTAAACTGGGGAAGACGGGGATATAACTGCTTAGATATGGTAGTTTCTCATATGAAGCCCCTTGACAGCACCCCCCACCACCGCCACCCCTTCCGGTAGGCGTTATGCGCACTGGTCGCCTATAGGGCGGTGGCTGCGCAAGCATGTCCAAGAGCGGGACAGTCTGTGGGGAGTTGGGGACTCGTCATGAGGCGACGACGATCCCTGGCTGCAGAGAAGCGTCATGCATGCAACCTTACCTGCGTCCCCAGCCGCCCAACTCTGAATGAGTAACTACATGGCTTGTGCCTCCTAAAGAATCCCTCCTAAAACACACACACACACACAAGCACACACGCAAGGCACTGTTCTCGCTACATTTAACAGAGCTACATTTAACGAACGCTTAACGGAAATGTAGTCTTTGCCACATCGAAGACTTGTTATCACCTTTGTGAATTCAGTCATTTAAAGTCATGTGTGGAATGATTCAAAATGCCCAAACAAACGCGATGGCGTGACTTCATCGTGATTCGCTTAATGACACCGGACTCACAGGGAAGAAGACACACGCCACCGGTTACTGTAACATTCTTCTTTCTTTTTTCTCTTTTTTGGTCTTGCTCTGTCAGTTTCAGCGGGCATAGCCTAAACGGATGAACCAAGCAACCATGCGCGACAATAATCGACTCATCCGCAGCACGGTGTTTTATCTGTCACTTAATCCCGGAGGGAGTGCAATATATAAGTTGTCGCCGATGCAAAAACTTGTGCAGCCGCATTCTGCTTCTCATTGCGCCGCACAATTCAACTTCCAGGCATTCCAGCACACTCGGCTCTGACAGTGAACAACGACAGCTCGTCCTGCGCCTAAAACTGCTGCGCAAACACATCGTTTTATGGGAAAATCAACTCTCCCCTCACCGAATACTTGCACTCACGTGTGACATGATCACATATGATCTTTACACTTCACGCACCCACCACCTCCCCGCACACCACGCCCGTCTACACAGCAACATCCAGTGCTCACCTTTAAAGACGCTTGCACAGAGGCTGTAAAGGATGAACATCAAGTACTGCTTGACAATCATATTCTTCTCTTTTCCTTCGCAATTCTACGTCAACACTCCACTCGCGTTTGACTCTTTTTATTCTGTCTTTATCTCTTCTCTCGTCAAGGTGGACTTATCCAGGTGAACGGCGCAGTTTCTGACTGACCGGAGTTACATTGATGAACTCTTGCCTTTTTCTGAGGAGTCCCTGTGTATTTTTCGCAGATCAGGGGGCAGTGATCACTGTAGTGAAGCAGGACGGCAGAGATGCTCGTCGGCAAAGTGCAGATCCTGCCTCCCTTTATTGCCTTTCTCTTTGACTCGCTGCAGAGAGCAAGAGTCCCGCCCACGCTTTTTGACTAATGAAGACGCTTCACCAATGGAGAACACCTAGAAATAGTTCTGATCTCCGGTACACTGTCGAAACAATTACGCCGTAGAGCACAGTTACTTTGATACATCAGTTTCTAGAAGGGACCGCGGTAGTCATGTGACAAGTTTTTTGTTTTTTTGTTAATCTCATCATTTTCTAAACACCAAAGCAGAACAATAGGCCTCTATTATAGTTTATGCATATGGGGAAAATATAAGGATCCAGTCCTGGCCATCACATCACCGAGCCTCCATAATGCTCTAAAGTGGAGGATCCTTGCTCTCTGTTTAGTGTCAGTAGACTGAACTGAAAAAGTGCAAAACCAACACGCCAGAGATTTAATGCATGAAAATATGCCCACAGCTAGCAGAGCTAATTTAACAATTTTAGACAGTTCTAAACAGCTACCCTACAGCCATAAAAGCTTTATGAGCAGCCAAACAAGCTCTGTTGTCAATACCAGAGGACTCGAAATAACTGCCACTGCGACACATATTATCACTTGAAAAAAGTTTTACAGCTTAAAGAGCACCGTGTGGTAACAACAGAAACACGTGCCCATGTTGTGTGAAGATGCATTTGCTTTCGCAGAGGTTGTGACCTGGTGTCTGGGTGCATGTCGGGTGTCAGGGCGCAGGCACGAGGGAGGTTAATGGGCACCCGGACATCCCTCTTCCTTCAAAGGTTCCAGAGGTGCAGAGAAATGAGTGTGACCATCCCTAAAGACAGAGGTGTGAGGAAACGGCAGCTCCAGCCAGGGATCGTTTTCTAAGCCGACGGCGAGGATTTTACACATGGTTTAACATGCTGCTGGGCGAATTTGGTTCAATTTTGCACAGTGCTCTTCTACGCCACTCCCACTTCAAATCAAATTGCTGACCTGGCTGTACCACCTGAGAAAGATGTGGCATAGCCCCCAATTTTAAACCAATTGCTTTTCCTTTTGCAGTATGAATCACTGGAAATAATACAGGAAGCTCCACGTTCATTCTCTAATCAGTCATTTGGATCACTCATTTTCATTGCAAACCAGAAGTTAAATAGTGTTTTCCAGCTTTTTGTGGTTATTGTAAGTTTTCATTCTGAATAGCTAAAATGGAG